TAAATATAATAAATAAATGAATAAATATCAATAAATAAATGAATAAATATCAATAAATAAATGGAAAAATATAATATATAAATGAATGAATAAATGAATGTAGTATATAAATAAGTAAATGAATGAATTATTAAATAAACAAATGAATGAATGAACCAATGCAATAAATAGTGAATATAATGTATAAATGAATGAATGAATAAATGAATAAATAAATATAATATATAAATGCATAAATTAATAATTAAATAAAAATAATATCGCCACATCTAGAGAAGTCAGCTGAGGTGGCTCGAGTATCTGTTTCAGATGCCTCCTGGACGCCTACCTAGGGAGGTGTTTCAGGCATGTCCCACCGGGAGGAGGCCTCAGGGAAGACCCAGGACACGCTGGAGGGACTATGTCTCTCTGCTGGCCTGGGAACGCCTCGGGATCCCCCCTGGAGGAGCTGGAGGAAGTGTCTGGGGAGAGGGAAGTCTGGGGTTCTCTCCTAAGACTGCTGGCCCCGCGACCCGGCCCCGGAAAAGCGGCAGAAGATGAATGAATGAATAAATCTAATATATAAATGCATAAATTAATGAATAAATAAACAATATAATATTTAAATGCATAAATAAATAAAAATCTATAAATAAATAAATAAATACAAAATATGATATAGAAATGAATTAATCAATGAATCAATAAATAAATATAGAAATAAATGAATGAATATGGAAATGAATGAATGAATGAATGAATGAATTAATTAATTAATTAATGCATTAATTAATTAGTTAATGAATTAATTAATTAATTTATGAATTAATTAATTCATTCATTAATTGGACTTTCAGTAATGAAAATTAAACCACACTGAACTGAATTTCAGATCTGAAAACTGGACTGACACTGTTTCAATTTACTTTAATCTTCTATGTTAAGCTGCTTTGACACAATCTACATTGTAAAAGTGCTAGAAAAATAGACAAACCAACAAACAAATAAATAAATATGAATGAATGAATGAATGAATGAATGAATGAATAAATGAATGAATGAATGAATGATTGAATGAATGAATGAATGAATGAATGAATGAATGAATGAATGAATGAATGAATGAATGAATGAATGAATGAATGAGTGAATGAATGAATGGATGAATGAATGAACAAAGGAACGAACAAACAAACGAATGAATGAGTCTTTATTACTTTCTTTTCATGTGAATCCAAAAAAAAACTAAATGTGTCCCAGTTTCCACATAAATATGAAGCAGATGTTTTCAGCATTAATAATGTTCATCATAAATATTTCTTGATCATCAAATCCTCATAATATAGTGATCTGTTTATCACTGAAAACTGCAGTAATGATGCTAAAAATCTGGCATATAATCACAAATATAAATGACACCTTACTAAATATTTGCATATAAACCAGCTCAATTAAATGTAAATATGTTTTCAGATTTTAGACAGTGTTGTTTCTGTGTCTGTGCTCCTCACTGTTCTTCATAACTGTTACATTTAATACTCATACAAAGCAGCTAAATTGAAAGTAAATAATTTGTCCGATTTTTAACAGTGTTTTCTGTCTCTGTGCTCCTCAGTGTTCTTTATAAATACTCATTAGATGTAATACTGACTTCTGCAGAATCATCTGACTCTGCTGTAATTATGCTGAAAATACAGCTTTAAATCGCAAATATAAATTAAACGTTAATACATATTTGCATAAAAACCAGCTTAATAAAATGTAAATATGTTTTCATATTTTGACAGTGACATTTCTGTGTGGAGTTTGCATGTTCTCCCATTGCCGGTGTGGGTTTTCTCTGGGTGCTCCAGTTTCCCCCACAGTCCAAACACATGGGCTATAGGGGAACTGATCAACTAAATTGGCCATAGTGTATGAGTGTGTGTGTGAATGAGTGTGTATGGGTGTTTCCCAGTATTAGGTTGCAGATGGACAGGCATCCGCTGCATAAAACATATGCTGGAATAGTTGGCGGTTCATTCCACTGTGGCGACCTTTGATAAATAAGGGACTAAGCTGAAGGAAAATGAATGAAGGAGTTTTTGACAGTGTTTTCTGTGTCTCCTCAGCGTCCTTCATAACTACATGCTGTGGCGTATGGTTGCGGCTCTGAGCGAGCATCTCTCCACAGCGTTCCGCAGCACCATCCACGAGTTTTCTCGAGAAATCGACGGCACCGAGCAGCAGCTGGATCTGGAGCGTCTGTGTCTCACGCAGGCCAACAAACACTTCGGCATGGCCCTCGGAGCGCTGTTCGTCCAGCAGCACTTCTCCTCCTCCAGCAGAGCCAAGGTCAGAATAGACACTGAGAAACAACAACACACTCTTTATTATTGATGCTGTTATTACCATGGATACCTTTTATTTACACTTCTATGCGTACATCCAGTTACTATCTCACACTCTGAGGAATATTTCCAGTAGCTTGTTGAATCTCTGCCATGAAGGATTAAGGCAGCTCTGAAGGCAAAAGAGGTCCAACCCAATACTAGTAAGGTGTACCTAATAAAGTGGCCAGTTAGTGTATATATATATATACACAGACACACATATACACAAACATATATACTCTACACACACCTGGATTTTGTTTGTTGTCTTGTATGGTTTTTTGCCTTACAAGACAACAAACGCCAACATGGGGAGAACATGCAAACTCCACACAGAGACACCAACTGACCCAGCCGAGGCTCAAACCAGCGACTTTCTTGCTGTGAGGCGATCGTGCTACCCACTACGCCACCGTGACGCCGCTGGACTAATAATCTCAGATCATTTTAATTCCCCCCTTTAATAATACACCGTTAACAGCCAGGTTTATTTGAATGCTGTTCTCTCAGGAGGAAGCTCTGAGCATCAGCTCCCGCTCCTCTGGATTTAGTCTAACAGAGACGTGGAGAGATCTCCTTTATTCTTTTCTGACTTCTATATGATCTTCTGAAGCTCCGTCTGTATTTTCCAGTGTCTCTGGTGTATTCTCCTTCTCCTTCTTCTAATGTGGTGTATGAGTTTTTCCTTCAGCGGGCGAGTGTTTGTTTTCTCTCTTCACACAGATAAAATGATGGATGCATCAAATCACACTTGTTTTGGGGAAGATGTTTCTCCCAGATGGTTTGCATGGCGGGGTGTTTAGATTTCTTTAAAAATCTTCAGTCAAAATGTCACTTTCAGCTGAGTTTCACAGCCTGCAGTGGGTTTATAGTGTTTCTGGCGGAGCAGGAGTCATGCAAACCCCTTCAGACTTTACTATGACTTGTATTTCTAGACACAGAAGCTTAGTGGAATGTTCATGCTGCTCTTTGTTTTCAGCCCCACTTTTTTTATTTTTTAAATATTTCTCAAATGATGTTTAACAGAGCAGTGGAATTTTTCACAGTATATCTGATAATTTTTTTTTTCTTCTGGAGAAAGTCTTATTTGTTTTATTTCGGCTAGAGTAAAAGCAGTTTTTAAATTTTTAAACACCTTTTTAGGGTTCATATTATTAATTAATAATTATTGAGTATATTATTAAAATTATTGATTATTAAAATTATTTTAAATTGATAAAAATATTTAAATTATTTAAATTACAAACAAACTATTAAAATGACAAAAAATATTAACATTACCAATATTAACTATTATTATTACTACTATTAATTAAAATTACTATTAATTATTTATTGTTTAATGTATTATTAAAATGAGCAATTATTAAGATGATTAAAATTACAAACAATAATACAATTATTAAAATTACTAATATTAACATGTATTATTAATACTATTAATGAAAATTAATATTAATTATTTATTGTTTAATTGATTATTAAATTAAGTAATGATTAAAATTATTAAAATTGCAAAAAATATTTAATTTGTTTAAATGAGAACAATTATAAACGCTACAAAAATTATTACAATTATTTCAATTTTTATTATTGTAAAAATACTATTATTAGCTGTTATTATTACAACTATTACCAAAACTATGATTAACCCAAAACAAATAATGCTTAAGAATAATTAGTGTAGCTGTTGTTACCATAGCAGCTATAGAATCACCACAACTGATTGATTACTGTGGTAGTTTTGTTACCATAGCAGCTGTAGAATTACCACTACTAAATAATTACTGTGGTAGTTTTGTTACCATAGCAACTGTAGAATTACCACAACCGAATAATTACTGTAGTAGTTTGGTTACCATAGCAACTATAGAATCACCACAACAGGTTTATTAATGTAGTTGTTCTGTTACCATAGCAATTATGGAATCACCACAACATACTAATTACTATAGTAATTTTGTTACCATAACAACTGTAAAATCACCACAACAGATTAATTACTGTAGTAGTTTTGTTACCATAGCAACTGTAGAATTACCACAACCGAATAATTACTGTAGTAGTTTTGTTACCATAGCAACTGTAGAATAACCACAACCGAATAATTACTGTAGTAGTTTTGTTACCATAGCAACTGTAGAATTACCACAACCGAATAATTACTGTAGTAGTTTTGTTAATATAGTAACTGTAGAATTACCACAACCGAATAATTACTGTAGTAGTTTTGTTACCATAGCAACTGTAGAATTACCACAACCGAATAATTACTGTAGTAGTTTTGTTACCATAGCAACTGTAGAATTACCACAACCGAATAATTACTGTAGTAGTTTTGTTAATATAGTAACTGTAGAATTACCACAACCGAATAATTACTGTAGTAGTTTTGTTAATATAGTAACTGTAGAATTACCACAACCGAATAATTACTGTAGTAGTTTTGTTACCATAGCAACTGTAGAATTACCACAACCGAATAATTACTGTAGTAGTTTTGTTACCATAGCAACTGTAGAATTACCATAACCGAATAATTACTGTAGTAGTTTTGTTACCATAGCAACTGTAGAATTACCACAACCGAATAATTACTGTAGTAGTTTGGTTACCATAGCAACTATAGAATCACCACAACAGGTTTATTAATGTAGTTGTTACCATAGCAATTATGGAATCACCACAACATACTAATTACTATAGTAATTTTGTTACCATAACAACTGTAAAATCACCACAACAGATTAATTACTGTAGTAGTTTTGTTACCATAGCAACTGTAGAATTACCACAAACCGAATAATTACTGTAGTAGTTTTGTTACCATAGCAACTGTAGAATAACCACAACCGAATAATTACTGTAGTAGTTTTGTTACCATAGCAACTGTAGAATTACCACAACCGAATAATTACTGTAGTAGTTTTGTTACCATAGCAACTGTAGAATTACCACAACCGAATAATTACTGTAGTAGTTTTGTTACCATAGCAACTGTAGAATTACCACAACCGAATAATTACTGTAGTAGTTTTGTTAATATAGTAACTGTAGAATTACCACAACCGAATAATTACTGTAGTAGTTTTGTTAATATAGTAACTGTAGAATTACCACAACCGAATAATTACTGTAGTAGTTTTGTTACCATAGCAACTGTAGAATTACCACAACCGAATAATTACTGTAGTAGTTTTGTTAATATAGTAACTGTAGAATTACCACAACCGAATAATTACTGTAGTAGTTTTGTTAATATAGTAACTGTAGAATTACCACAACCGAATAATTACTGTAGTAGTTTTGTTACCATAGCAACTGTAGAATTACCATAACCGAATAATTACTGTAGTAGTTTTGTTACCATAGCAACTATAGAATCACCACAACAGATTAATTACTGTTATAGTTGTGTTACTATAGCAACTGCAGAATCAACACAACATATTTATTACTTTAGTTGTTGTATTACCATAGCAACCATAGAATCGCTATTACTATTTACTATATACTTTTGACCGTAAAAATGTTTTTAAAAACAATTAAAAACTTCTTTGATCGTAGCCAAAATAAAACAATTAAGACTTTATTCAGAAGAAAAAAATATTTGTAGGAAGTACTGTGAAATCTGTAGAACATCACCCGAGAAACATATGAAAAGCATAAATATTACAGGTGAGGGTGAATAATTTGCAGATGTATAGAAATAGACATGTATGAATGATATAACTGTCTTATATGAATGTAAGATTATAGGTCTGTGCATTAGAGTAGCACAGTTTCTACAGTCGTCGCTCAACATCTCAAACATCTTTTCATATTTGAGCTGATTTTAATATGCACTGGAGTCGTCTGAGTGACAGAAATCATTCACACTTATAATTAGAAAAGCAAGTCAAGTGAGACCATCATTTAGAAAGCTGGTCAGAATTAGCGGAGATGGCCTCAAATATACATAAAAGCAGAGCCATAATAAGCAAAACGCCATAGGAGACGTGAAAACAAGCTGTGCATGATTATTAAAACATAAATATATATATAACATGAAGTTGGAGATCTGATATATTTTTGAAACACTGCTTATGGTGCTACTTAAACTTCTGATGTTACGTTTAAAACGATTTATTTAATTATTTACTAATTTTATTAATTAATAGTTTTTGTATTAAATTTGTATTATTACTATTTTCATTTAATTATTATATTTATATTCATTTATTTATTATGTAAAGTAAATGCTTTAAATTCTCATAATTTTATTACTTTACATTATTAATTACATTTTTATATAAAAATGTGTTTTTTATTTAAATAAGTTGTTATATTTATACATTTATTACAATTATTATTTATTATGTAAACGTACTACTTTGAATTCTCAGAATTTTGTTATTTTTAAAACTAATAAATGATTAATTAATTTAATAAATTAATTGTTTTTATGTTAAAATGTTATTATTTGTATTTATTAGTTATTATATTTATATATTTGTTTCATTTCTTATTACTTTATTTATTATGTAAACTAAATACTTTACATTTGCAGAATTAAATAAACTATTTAATTAATTATTTACTTGTTTGATTAATCAATCGTTTTATATTAAAATGTTATTATTATTTGTATTTAATTAATTGTTATATTTATATATTTATT